TCACGCGGTCCCTTGATAAGTTTAAAATTTGAATCACTCTCAAGCGAAAGTGATTCAAATGGTGCGGCGCACCTTCCTTGGGGTGCGCTGCGGTAGTATGTTACGGACTTTAGAGTCAGCAAAACAATTAAAATAGATTGTAATAGTCTAAGAAAAACACGTACTCAAAATACGATAACATTTAGCATGCTAGAAATGGGCTGATGGCTTTGAACTACGCCATATCTTTATGTTTTGCGACAAACGACAACTTTATAAAATCAGTGTAGCAACTTTTAAAAATCATCATATCGTTTACTTGGCAAATTAGAAGGACGAACTTGTCTTAGATTTCACCCATCTAAATCATATCATATTTGCACATAACAATATACCTACTTACTTCCCATTAAAGTATAAATTCTACAAATAAATAATACTCAACAATATTTAAAATAAAATGAGCCAAGAACGTTTATCGATAAAGCTGATAACATTGAAATCTTTTGTACAGCACTAAAGCCGCCATGTTTTGTGGCCAGATGACGTCACAGAGGCACGAAATTTTGGTTGACGTTTCATTTCCATAGGTTTCCTACTTCATTGTTCGTACATTGTACGAATGTCAGTGGCCGACATAAAGGTCGCGGGAATCCAGTGGATGTTATCTGTAATGGACCCCTGTGTCCAGAAACCGACGTTTGTTGGTCTCATGATAAAGAAGATATTGCTAATAAATAGTAATGCAGTGTAATTTAAAAAATGATGTATATTTAACAGAACGTGTATTCAACAGTCTTCTGACAATATTTAAATTATTAAGTCATAATGGAACGTTTTAACAACATGAAGTTCTCGAAATGCTCCCATAATTATTTAATTTTCAAATCGAGAAAGCTGTGTGTGCTACTCTCCCTTTACCAGTTCAATTGAAAAAATCAAACCGAAAACGAAGATGTTTTGAAAAATTTGAAGTTTGATTATTTTGTTCAACTGAGAACTTTGTTGGGAACTGGCATGATAAATGGCGAAATTATGTACTGGAGCATTGGCGTATAAAGCTTTAAATGGCTTGGTTTGTGTTTACAAACCACCATGTGTCACCATTAAACAAGTGCAGCATACAATTATAACTCATTTATGTAGAGGTTAGTTTTCTAACTTATGTTAAATCTCACATATATAACTAAACAATATTATACACCTCACCTAGATTTACTTTAATCGTAAACGAATATAAAATTTAAAGATTTTGAATTCTCGATATCAAAGATATTAGTTGATGTCGTGGCGTGCAACCTCTTTGACAAGACATAAAACCTATAATGACTAGACATAGACAGACTAAGACAGACATTTGAAAATAATTCAAAAATAAATGGAACGAGGGCGTACGTGACCAGCAGCGACGCAGTACATTTTTAGACTTCTGAAAAGACAGACATACAAAAAGACGAAACAGAACGAATAATAATTGACCGTTCTTATATAAGATGTTCTTCTCTCTATATACAATAGGCGTAAAAAGAAAAGACCGAATAAAACTAAAAGACATAAAGAGCAAGACAAACTTTAAGAACGCATACACAACTTACAAACAGCTAAAATGGCGATGGTCTGGACATATGATCAGAGAGAAAAAGGAGAAATGGACCAGTTTAATAACTGAATGGTATCCACGAGATGGTAAAAGGAATAGAGGTAGACAGNTCGGAATGTTTACGGACCATGATTTACTGAAACGGACTTGGAGAGAATCTCAACGACTTGCAGACTTGATTTGGAAACGCTGGGTCAAGGAGTACTTGCCCACTTTGACACGACGAGACAAATGGTACAGAGATTCTGACAGACCACTGGCGATTGGTGACGTCGTAGTTGTTGTTGACTCCCAGCTACCCCGCAACCAGTGGCCGCTTGGCAAGATCGAGCAGGTCTTCCCTGGTAAGGACGACATGGTTCGCGTTGCTAAAGTTCGGACCAGACATGGACTCTACACAAGACCGGCGACGAAACTGTGCAGGTTGGACGTACACTCCTCATCTTGAGTACCAGCCTTCTGGTACTGGAGGTGGGGATGTCGTGGCGTGCAACCTCTTTGACAAGACATAAAACCTATAATGACTAGACATAGACAGACTAAGACAGACATTTGAAAATAATTCAAAAATAAATGGAACGAGGGCGTACGTGACCAGCAGCGACGCAGTACATTTTTAGACTTCTGAAAAGACAGACATACAAAAAGACGAAACAGAACGAATAATAATTGACCGTTCTTATATAAGATGTTCTAGTGACCTTCGACCGTTAAAGTAGTCATTCGACCGTTCAGTTGACGAGAGACGATCTGACCATAAAAATGACCAAAGCCCATCCAAGTTGAAGCAAAACTATTTTTTTTCCAGACTTGAATGCATTACCAAATGGTCCTCAAGAGAAAAGAGTGGAGATTATAGGGGCCACAAACGAACCGATGAGTGTGTGTTTGGTGCCTAACTATGCAGACAACCCTCTAGCCTGTGGTCCTAGGTTCATAAACGAAGACTTTCGCTGCAGCTGGGCTACTCATTTAGGGTTCTTCAGCAGTGGAGTTCTGTGTAAGTTAACATTTATGTGAAGAAACCTACCTCGAATACAATGTTACTTTTTTAAACTTATAACACACTAAAAATTTGAGGTTCTTTTCAAATGGTGTCCAACCAGGAAATTTGTTCACTTGTCTGAGATCAATGACAACATAATAACTTAATTAGCTTGGTTTATTGAGATCAGGCTACCAACAAAACATATATAAATATAAATTAGATATATATATGTATTAATTTAACTTCTTTTGGTTTGTTAGTGAAAATTTTTTTAGAGAAGAAAATATTTCACTATCACTATATAATTTCACTAAGTGTGACAATTGTTATTTTTTTGCTTTTAGTGTTAGGCATTAATGAAGGTACAAAACTGACCTATCTGTTGAACACAGCAAGACTCCCAAGAGCATACAAACTTCATGGGCAACTTGGTAAAGCTACTGACACATATTTTTGGAATGGCAAGACTGTTGAACGTTCTATGCACAAACACGTTAGTCGAGAGAAGATAGACAGAGTAGTTGCCCATATGCAGGCAGCACACCAAAAAGCTATGTATGAGTAAGTATACATAAATTAGATGTGTAAAATCTTCAGGATAGATTCTTCAGCATAAATTACAAGTACAAATTTAACCGTCACTATGTAAAACTTGACTAATGATCTAGTCCAGCCATTCCATTCTGTTTTTATTATAAGCATGAGTAAGGAGATTAGCAGTAGCCACTGATACACTAGATGCTTGATCATTATATATGAAAGTGAAAGCCTGAATATACCTACACCACATTATCAAAGTACATTAAATGAAATTAAAAAATAAAACAAGCAGATAAAAAGTGTAATTTTCATTTGCATATACTGACAACACTAAGTTTGTCTATAATTTCTTTTACCTTTCAGGTTATCGGGTGTACACATGGATTCTCAGACAATGTATGATCTAGCAGTAGAAGGACCAATCAGACCGGCTAACTCTAAAATTCCAGTTCTCTATGGCATCAAATGTGTCCATTTTGATTCACCTAATTTTACTTTAGGTTGTATTACAATTAACTTTTAAATCATACCACATTGTTTATATTTTACTGCTTCACAAGGAGAAAAAAGCTCACATGATGTTAAATGGTTACCTGGGCCCATAGATAGCTCAATATAAATACCACTACCCACCTCAACATGTCTCAAATGATTTGCAAAATGACCTTCCCACTCTTTAAGATGGAATTGCATTACTCCTTCACATCTAAAATAAGGAGAGTGCAATAATACCTAGCCATATGAACTCACTATACACTGCACTACTGTCTGGAAGGATCATATTTTTGTTCTGGTTGTCTAAGAGCACAAAGGAGATCTTTAACTCTTTATGTTTCAAATATTGAAATACAATAAGCCTTATTTGTTAGACAGAAAGGGCAGATACTAATCCAAAAATTTAACAATTTTTAGAGATACATGCTGTCAATGAATATGAAAAATACCTGTGGACTCTAGTTCATGACCTTGGAGTACAACTAAAGACATCTGCTCACTGTACCGGAGTACAATGCATAAGGCAAGGAAAATTCGATCTTGAATATGCATTATTGAGGAAGCATTGGAAATTAGAATATATTGTTGATAATATGAACAGATGTCGAAAGGTCCTAGAGGAGAATGAAAACCTAATGAGACCTATTTCAGCAGTGTTGAGCATTTAGATGGTCCTTAATGAAGGAAAGGTATTTGGTAATTATAGTTTGGCTGTGTCCATTGTGTCAATAATTTTTTTAAGGACAGTCCACTCTAACTTGAGCATTAACCAAAGCATGGACATTACAACTGATATGCCACAAACTATCTTAAGACATGAAGTTAAAGTGTTAATTTAAATGAACAATGTATATAATTGATTACATTTACATAAAACAAAATCAAAAAGCATTTTACCACATTGAGAGCTGTAGTTCTTGAATCATGCAAGATTATTACTTCTTTGTAGAATTAATTCACAAACTAATCAGAGACCTAAGTAGGTAAACCACTGTACATTTGTAAATAAATTTCTAAGTTAATGAAAAGGTTTTTATTAAATAAATATACCTTAAAAATAACAAATGAACACAGAATCGTAAATGCTGGTGGTTTCCAATTTTTTTAACCAAATTTAAACAACTTTTTATTATTAAACAACTACTAAATAATAAGATAGTCCTGCAACTAAGTAGTAATTTTTTGTGTATCTTAGTTACTTGAAGTAGTTGAGGGTGATGTTTTCGCTTGTTTTTCCATCTGCTCTATTCTTTTATGCCTTATCATATTCGAAAGAATACCATCAAAAGAAGTTGTCTTTTTCTTAGCAGAACCTCTCAACGTGTCTTCCCCTTCCCGTCTTACCCGCAGCCGCAATGAACTAACCTCATCCATGAAATCAAAGTCTGACTTTTCTTCCCGGATTGGCGATTGAGGTAACTCAGGCTGGTTTTCCTTGCTGACAGGCACGGGAGATGGTTGCCTGCGTCCTGGACATTTCCATTCTAGGTTTAATATACCCTTTTTGTCGATGTTTTTGTAAAGTTCCTCTAATTCGGCCGGTTCCGGCATCCAGCTTTTTCCAATAAAAACGCCGTTTTTCGCCAGTTCGTCATCTGAACAAGGGATATCCCAATCGTCTCCTTGAATCTCGGTTTCCATGTTATTTGTTTTTCATATATGTAAGCATTTAAATAAGTAGTCCTATTACCTATTTACTATTACATACATTTGTCAATTGATGTCAATTGTCATTAAGAGTAGTAGTTTTATTTTTCTACCTGGAAAGGCAGAGGTGTCGTACCATACAACCTAATCTTGTATAATATATATTATATCGACGCTTGAAAGGCAAACGTGACTAAGCGACAATAACTGCTTTATACATAAATGATAGGCAATAACCATATTCGATGCGCAAAAAAAATATATTTCTAGATCTATTAAAATCATTTCAATCCTACAGCTAGATTCGTTACTCTCGTCTACTGTAAAGTTCACGCATTGTTACTTAGTCACGTTTGCCTTTCAAGCGTCGATAGATATATTTTTTATATGAAAAATGATATTATGAAATGAAATGAAGCTAATATAATTAATGTGTTAATTAATATGAAACATGGCATAAAAAGAAATGAGATGAGATGATATGGGTTTTTATTTTTTTGCTTAGATGGGTGGACGAGCTTACAGCCCACCTGGTGTTAAGTGGTTACTGGAACCCATAGACATCCACAACGTAAATGCGCCACCCACCTTGAGATATAAGTTCTAAGGTCTCAGTGTAGTTACAACGGCTGCCCCATCCTTCAAACCGAAACGCATTACTGCTTCACGGCAGAAATAGGCAGGGCGGTGGTACCTGCCTGTGCGGACTCACAAGAGGTCCTCTACCACCAGTAATTACGCAAATTATAATTTTGCGGGTTTGATTTTTATTACACGATGTTATTCCTTCACCGCGGAAGTCAATCGTGAACATTGTTGAGTACGTATTTCATTAGAAAAATTGGTACGCGCCTGCGGGATTCGAACACCAGTGCATTGCTCAGCACGAATGCATCGGACGTCTTATCCTTTAGGCCACGACGACTTCATAAAATGGGATGAAATATAATCTCAGTAAAATGGTGATCATTTACTGATATTTTTTATTGGACTTTTGGAGGATCCCGAGAAGTTACGTCCAGCGCCTTTGTTTCATTTTCCCACATTTGTACATTTTTACAGATATTAAATAGTTAATAAACCACCGTTATTACACATTTAAACCTGAAGAAACACTAAATAGACAAAATAAAACAAATCACACAACTTCACTCCTCGCGTTCCCGCCAAAAAGTCTATTACTTAATATTTTTTAAACTAAATTTACCATAGATTAAACATAGATTAAACACGATTTTAAACTAAATTTACCATAGATTAGATTAATATTTGAGAAAAATAATTAAGGTTAGAAAATACTGGCTATTGGATAATGCTATTATACGCTTACTAATGGCTATTGTTTTTCTTAGATCGTTAGATTATTTATGTTACACTTGTAGAATTTAAGATTGTGGACTAAATCAGAGATCTACTGAAATTTTAATAAACAATAATTAACAATATGTCTGCAGACTCAGACTGTGATGAACTGAGCCAAGATGGGCTTTCAAGGTAAATAATCATAATAATCTTGTTCTATGAATATGAAATTCAACCTCCCTAGTAATAATAACCTAAAATATTACCTCAGACTTGGTGACTGCGAAGTTTGTGCGGCTAATAAAGCACTATACACATGTCCTAAATGCGAAGTTAAGACATGTTGCTTAAACTGCGTGAGAATCCACAAAAAAGAGTTGGAATGTGATGGTATAAGAGATCGGACAAAGTTTATAAGAATGAAAGATTTTACCGATACTGATCTCCTGAGTGACTACCGGCTGTTAGAAGAATGCGCGAGGTTTGTTTGGGGAGTCAAGAGAGACGATAAGAAGAGGTTCACAAGAATCGATAAGGATTTACCAATTGTAAGTTTATGAATAGAAAAATCTCAATTCTTATACATTTTTTATTGCTTACATGGGTGCACGAGCTTACGGCCCACCTGGTGTTAAGTGATTACCAGAGCCCATAGACATTTACAACGTAAATGTATCATATGTATCATATTTTATGTATTTGTCCACAGCACCTATTCAAATTAAAAATGGCTGCACGCCAACGGGGTATTGTGCTTCAGTTTTTAGCACAAAATTTTACAAGACATAAAAATAACACTACAAGATACAATTATAAAAGTAACCTAATAAATTGGAGAGTCGAATGGATATTTCCTAATGTCGACAAAGAACCTTTAAAATATGTTGATGAAAAGTGCCCTGAACAGAAAAAGCTATCTCATCTGTTGGATAAATATATTAACTGTGATGTGCCTTTTGAAGGATCAAAATCACTATCATTTTACAAGGCAGCTGGAATTAGTGGTCTTAAAATTTTACTTAAAGGTAATTAAAAAAACTCTCCATTGATAATTATCAGTAAAAGGTTGAATAACTTTTTACAAATCTTTTAATTGATTAGTAAATCATTTGTTGTTTTTGTTATTTACAGCTGAAAAAGTTAAAGGATCAGCCAAGAAATTCTTTGAACTAGATCCAAGTGAATCTTTAGCTGAGAATCTGTCTGGGAAATGTATTGTTGAATTTCCCATAATTTTCATTGTTTTAAAAGATCATGCATATAATTTTGAGATCATTACACCAGGTAATATATACTTATTTTTAAGGGATGTGGTGTTAATAATGGCTCAGTATTGTGGGATTTGACATTAATCTTAATTTGACAATTTGAATAACTTTCAAACACCTTTTCAGCCGGTTTTTTTGCTTATATTCCTTATAATTTGACTATATCTTTGACAAATATGTGCACTTATAGATGCAATTTTTCTGCTAGAGCCACAATGTATTGAATGAAAAAAAAACCTTCAAAATGTCTAAAATTATTACTGAGTGTGAATGGTATTTAAAAATTAATTTATCTAAATAAATAAACATTTGGTGTATAAAACATTTAGTTCCATTCCTGTTGGTTGGTGGTTTTTTTAGACATTAATCAAAATAGTGAGATTTCATAATTAATAAACATTTGCAGAAGACGAATTTGAAGAGATAGAAGCTAATAAACTTGTTAAAGAAATAAAACAAGATAATCATTCAGTTAATGGAATTAATAATGAAGAAAAATATATCAAAGAAAATCACAGAAAAAGACCAAGAGAATTATTAACAGAGAAAATTGCAAAAGAAAAAAGGATGGCATTAGAGAAGGAGATAAAAGAAGAACGAAAGAAGAAACCAAAAAATCTCTTGTTTACTACTGGATACTCATCTGAAGAAAGTCTTGAGGATAGTGATAATGAAAGTGAAACAGAAAAAAGTTGAAAATTTTCCTATTATTGTTATAAAAATGTTCACTGGGACAGTTTAGTTGACATTTACCTCGTGCCTCAAGGTGGATAGGTAAATTAATGTTGTGAAAACCAGATCACCTCTGCCCGTCTGGACAAAAAAAAAACTTAAAGAACTTAAGGAACTTTAAAGTTAGATCTCATCCACTTTCAATGCCATATCCCCTAGTAAAATGCAAGACTAACTGGCTAGGAACCATTCCCAAGACTAATGAATGCCCATTCTTTTATATCATTCACTCCTGTCAGAGTACCTGTGGATACATTGGTGGATCACTCTGGAAAATCATAGTACTATGACTATTTGTTATGGAGGATCACAGTTACTGGTGGTAGGACCTCTTGTGATTCCGCATGGGTAGGTACCACCACCCCACCTATTTCTGCCGTGAAGCAGTAATGCGTTTCGGTTTGAAGGGTGGGGTAGCCGTTATAACTATACTGAGACCTTAGAACTTATATCTCGAGTTGGGTGGCGCATTTACATTGTAGATGTCTATGGGCTCCAGTAACCACTTAACACCAGGTGGGCTGTGAGCTCGTCCAGCCATCTAAGCAATAAAAAAAAAAAATTGTTCAGATAACTGTGTCATTCATTAACTTGATTTTCCTTAAAATTTATGGAAACGGATGGCAATAATAATACATACTATATCAATGAAACATATTTTTATTGCACTTCAATAGCCACTAATGTTTTCTCTGTCAATATAAATAAATACTCATTTGTAGCATTAATTCCTAAAACTTCTCCATATTTGTCAATGTTGAATAAATTTTGTTGTCCCACTTTTATGGCTTTCATCATTCCTCCTGTACGTTTTCTCAGTTGTGAATCTTGGTTACCAGTACTTCGATAAATGAATATATGTCTCTCAGATTCACATACAACACTGTATGAGAAGTTAGGAGGACATGTAACAAATTTTCTATTTTGTTTTGAAGACTGAACATAACCAAATGCAGATAATGTCCCTTGATGGGTCACAGGCCAGGTTTCTGTGTTTACTAGTAAAGAGTAAGGTTGCCATATGCAAGCATCTACATCTTGTCTTAAGGCTAATGCTGGGACTTCTTGAGTTTCCAATCTTACACTGAAGAGGTATTGGTGAACACTTAATGGTATCCGATGTGTGATTTCATGATTAGTAGCATCAAGCCTTACTGTAATAAAAGAATAATACAATTTTTAAAATTAGTTGTTTTGTAAAAATTATAAGTTTACTGGTGGTAGGAAGTCTTGTGAGTCCGCACGGGTAGGTAGCCACCTGCCTATTTCTGGTGTGAAGCAGTAATATGTTTTGGTTTGATGATTGTGGCAGCCATTGTATTGTAAAAATGGAGACTTTAGAACTCATAGCTCAAGGTAGGTGGTCATTTACGTTGTAGATGTATATGGGCTCCAGTAACCGCTTAACACCAGGTGGGCTAAGTATGGGTGAGTAAATTGACATATTGTTAAAGTAGTTGGAGTGGTGTCAACCTATTGTATGGGTTTGGGACTACCACCCTGCAATCATTGAGTTTTGATTTCAAGCATTTTAATACAAGTGAGACTTTAACCTCAGTTTCCATATAGAAGCCCATATGGGCTACTGTCAAATATCAAAAACATGTAGGAGATGAGCCCATTTGTCAATAAGAAATAATGTGATTTATTTTCATACCTAACACAGTGTCTTCTTCTGAAGCAGCATCACACTCTTCTAGTTCTTGTGTTGAGAACCCTGGCACTGACTGTTCACTGGTAGCTTCTGTTTCAGAACATAAATGTGCTAGTCTTTGGTGTGCTTCTTCTACTAAATTTGCGTCTACTATCTGTTCACCATTGGGATCCCCTCCTTCAATTAATTCATCCCATAACATACTATCAGATTTTGTAATTAGAATATCAACTTTACCATCTTCCTGAACATTCCATGTAGTCAAATTACTGTCCACGTTGTGCTTTAGTTTTCCCTCCACAAATGTCTTTCCAGCATAACTCACTTTGATGGTAATTGGTGAAACTAACACATGGAAATGTTTCTTATTGTATTTTTCTTCTAATTTTAACGTGACTGTTACATCCTCTGATGTCTGAAGCCATGTGTAAATAATTTTTCTCGATTCCATCCTTTGATTTTTCTGAGTAATCTCTGTTTCAGAATCCATGGTAAATTTAAAGATATTGTCCGATGCAACATACAAAGCACTGCAGCTGGTTTCTATGGCGGCATAGTGCACTATACCCTTTCCTTGTACTTGTCTGAAACTCATCTGCTTCCAAGACTCTCCATCATTATCAAAGGACACCCAAGTAAGAACAGACTCAAAATGTTTTTCATTTTGTTGAACTGATTGAAGTAAGCAATGCAAAGTTTCAGTATTTTTCTTCTCTTGTATTCGCGCATCAACAATAACAAAGTACTTGTTCTCTCCGAGTATTAAGCTGGATTGTAGGGTATGCCAGAGTTGATTCCTACCAGCAGACCTATTTCTTGGTCCTGTGTCAACTATGTGTAACATTCCTGTACCATCACTGACTACTGCTAAATTACTTGCAGGAAATGTCAGTGAAGGGTTGAAATGACCTGGTTTCCTTTCAATGTGGGCTGGGATATCATAAACAATATTATTTTGGAATGTGTGATTTATATTTTCAAAGGTAACATGTCTTACTTGCTGGTTTTTGTCAATGTAATAATAGTTGAACGAATAATCCCAATAATCAAGGACTAGATGGTTATGTAGTGCAAAAAGTTTTGCGTGAACGAAAGAGTACTGGACATCGTCGGGATAAACTTTATCCACGGGAGAAGCTAGCTCTAAGCTATAGTGGGGTAGGGCTTGTAAGTTTAATTTGTATCCTTCGAAGTCTAATTCCAGTAGACGTCTGTTTGGTCGTAATTCTACGAGGGAAGATGACATTTTGAAGTTTTCGATTATTTTCTATTTAAACTAACCTAACAATGCTTAAAAGTATTCTCAATTTTCACAAATAGGTATGTACCTATGTAATGTACATAATTTATAATAAAGTTCCACTTTTCAGTATCTACCTCTACTTCCTACTTTTCATAAAAATGAGCATAGAATAAACACTTTAAAATGAGTAGTCAGTAGTAGGGATGTAAACCGGTTCGAAGAAAACCGGAGAAAAACCGGTTTTTATACATACCGATAAATACCGGTTTTTTATTTAAGAATACCGGTTTTTTACGCTTTACATTCACAGTTAATACCAGTGCTACCAGATCAAATATACAAGCTACAAATATTAAAAAAAACCGTGTTTCAGAATCAAATTGCCGTGCATTACATTTAAAAACTACAGTGCAATAACCACAATATGGTTGGTAGACTTTTAGCGTACGAAATGAGGACCGTGACCCAAATATCCACATATCTGCACCCAACACTCAGAAATGGCTTTCGCCAACCAGAGCACATGTTGTCTGCAAAAGAGATGGTGCATCGNCCGTGCATTACATTTAAAAACTACAGTGCAATAACCACAATATGGTTGGTAGACTTTTAGCGTACGAAATGAGGACCGTGACCCAAATATCCACATATCTGCACCCAACACTCAGAAATGGCTTTCGCCAACCAGAGCACATGTTGTCTGCAAAAGAGATGGTGCATCGTGAACTGGGGAATCTTCTAGAAAAAACCACAAACAATTTTAAAAAGCCTGGTATTCTGGATTTTTTGCATTCGCGAAAACGGGATATTCCAAACGCCACGGCGCCGGCGGCCGCAGTGAATATAGTGCGAATGTATATTGGGACTGAAGCCGCCACAGTAAACCACACCGAAATTGCTGGCACGTGCTAACATCCAGAAGGAGCAGGCTTCTGAATGACGCAGTGGACCAACTATGCCTCTTACATCAAAATTTTGATTTAATACAATAGTATTAAATAAAAAATAAAAAGCTTTTTATTATTGGATAATATATATGATTTCTCGAGGAGCTAAACGTCAAGACCCGTCTATCTACAATCTGTATGCAGCGTCTCCTCAAGTACTTCGGACACGTGGCCCGACAAAATCCTGAGAACTTGGAAAAATTAATAGTTGTAGGTCACGTGGAAGGAAAGAGAAGTCGAGGAAGATTGCCAACCAGGAGGACGGACATTATCAAGGAGGCCACAAACACCAGCGTCCCGGGCGCCTTTAAGCAGGCCGAATGCAGGCAGCATTGGAGGAAGCTGGTGCAAAAACTGGACCAAGGTGGTCACGACCCTCAGTAATGAGGAAACGACAGAGAAGAAGAAGAATATATATGATCATTAAAAGCCTATATAAAATATGCTCACCTAATTAATTGTATGAAGAAAACTCTTCGTTTGTGCGTAAATTTGTTTTATTTAGTAATTATTTAGCCTTTATGGAAAAAACCTAAAAATACCTAAAAAAACCGGTTTTTTGAGAAAAAAACCGGTAATAAACCGGAGCCAGAAATTGTAATCGGTTCCATCGCTAGTCAGTAGTAGTATATTTTATTTTTCCAAACGGAAAGGCAACGGTATCGTACTATACAACTGATACAACGTAATATTTTATATATATTTTTTTTATGTTTATTTTATGAAATGAAATGAAATGAACTTGATTAATATGAAACATGGCATGAAATGAAATAAAATGAAATGAGCTTTATTCTTACAAAAAAAGGTAGCCATTAATTTTCGAAGTTAATATTACGAGTAATGCGATACTACATAAATAAAAAATAAATAAAATTCTTAATGTGTTTAATTCTATGGTAAGCTGCATGTTGTAAATATTCTATGTTTAATCATACAACAGTGTAAAATGTAAATAAATTATATTGTTATTATATTGATATTGTGTATTAATATATATATATAGGCCCTGGCAGTAACAAACTGACCTGACCATTGTAAATATTCCAATACAAAGGACGGTGACGCCGCGGCGGAGGAAGAAAGGCGGAAACGCGAGGAGTGAAGTTGTGAGATTTATTTTATTTTGTCTAGTTAGTGTTTCTTCAGGTTTAAATGTGTAATAACGATGGTTTATTAACTGTTTAATATCTGTGTAAGTGCACAAATGTGGGAAAATGAAACAAAGCCGCTGATATCATCTCGGGATCCTCCAAAAAGTCCACTGAAAAAATCTCAGTAAATGACCACCATTTTACTGAGATTATATTTCATCTTCAAACGTAGTGTAGGACGCCCTCCTTCTAGATGAAGTGACGACCTGCGCAAGGCAGCTGGCAATGACTGGAAGCGTAGAACCGAAGATCGGGTTCAGTGGCGCCATGGCGTGCTTTGGGAGAGGCCTATGTCCAGTAGTGGACTGCCGCAGGCTGATGATGATATTTCATTTTATTCCTTATTATCATTTTTCATAAAATAATGAATATAAATTATAAATTAACTAGCGACCCGCCCTCGCTTCGCTTCGGAAACTGTAATTTATTATTGATTTCTCCATTATTTAATGGATATATAAACATATAAACCTTATATATAAACCTATATATAAACCTTCCTCTTCAATCAAACCTTCAATCACTCTATCTATTAAAAAAAACCGCATCAGAATCCGTTGCGTAGTTTTAAGGATTTAAGTATACAAATACATAGGGATATAGGGACAGAGAAAGCGACTTTGTTTTAAACTATGTAGTGATGATATAAGACTTGACCTAAAGGTGTTCGTTACCAGGTCATAAAATCCCTTAAAAAATTGCCATAAAATCTTCAAAATCCAAAAAACTGTCAACATAACATAACCCACATTATTTAATATTTTGGAATATTTGGATGACCACAGAATTTTACAATAAATTGCGAAATAAAAATGCCATTTGTTAAAAATACCAATTATCGTGTCATGCATTTTGAAGACGTATCTTCGGTAATTCTGCATGGAACGTGAAGCCAGGTTCAAATAAGTTCAAATAATTTCAAAAATAAACAATCTGTTTTAGACTGATTTTTATACATACTACAATTTAGACAACCTGAGAAAAGTTTGTGAATTGAATGCTGGACAAATAACGAAATGTAGAACCATTGGAATACTACAGAGCTTAAACGGGCGCTATTATTTAACCGAAGTAAGTTTTCTTTAAATCATTTTCAATGTTTATTTTTATCAACATACCATAATTGTATGATACTATAACTTACCTAGTCATAGTTTTTAAAAAGTATTGTTACACTTTCAACAGTATTCATGGTGAACCCTCTTATACATCTTTAGCCTGTATATTTAAGAAAGAGAACCTAATCTGAAATTGTGAATTGTATTTCAGCTGGACAAACCTAATCTTATACCTGAATTTAGAATTCAAGTGTCTATGGTTTACCTCAAAGAACCTGTACATTCAACCCTAATACCATATCCAGTACAAGTTTTTGGTACACTGCAGTGGAAAAATCGACCTGTTATTTTCGCCAAAATACTGCAGGTATTTTTATATGTAGTTATCTTTTTTTTTTAAGTATAGCCTCTCAGCTGACGTGGCCAGATATTAAATTCTCAATGATAAATAATGACATTGTAAATTTTATTAGTAATCATATTTCTAGAAATTTTGTGATTTTTTTTCTGGTTTGTTTTTCTTGTTTAGGTACTTTAACAGGTATCCTTCAGTGAGGTAGACTTTTCAGAAAATGATAATTTGATTAAAGTTGACTATTACATTTTTCAGATGTTAACCATACCAATGGCTCTTAAAGCTAGAGACACATTGAACTCAGTAACTACAATACACCTAGCAAAACGAAGAAAACACAGTGATTGTGAAGACTTCACTTGATTATGTGCAAAAGAAAACAGTTAAAAATTTTAAAATATGCATAATTTGTTTTCACAATAGGTGGTGGTGGTGGTAGTGTTTGAGGTCATTAAAAATAAACTCCGACGAAATGACAATTGAGACATAGACCTCAAGACTACAGTGAGTGGTGGCATTCATGGTGTATCTCTGGGCTCTGGTAATTACTTAACACCAGGTTCACCATGAGCTCATTCACCAGTCTGTCCAATACATAAAAATAGCACAGCTGAACAGAAATGGTAGAATACTGGTATCTGACAACCTAACAATCTCAATAGTTTGTAAATCTAAAGATAAATACTGCAGTAGTATATAATAGAATAATAATATGTTGGATTGTTATTTTACACAGCATTAGTAGCAATTATGTATTTAAAAACAAAACAAAATTTAAAAGGGGTGCATGTTTATTAAACCTTAAATCAAATACAACAATAAAAATTGTGATTAAACTCAACATTCCAACACCAACATACACAATTAATATGTGAGAAACAATAATAAGAGATGTGCCTGATTACCTATTTTATGAATGACCTGACCAATAATACATAATAAAATTATTATAATAACTCTAATATTATTTTATTTACATACTGAAATACAACACTAATAATGCCAAATCTATCTGTTATTAGTTATAAGATTCTTGATGTCAATTGTTCTTCATTAAATTTTCTTAATTTAAGGCAAGTTCGCATGTGTTTTATTCTGAATAGCTTGAAAGTATAAAGCAATGTTCGTAGTGGTGGTATCTGGGCCTGAGTATTTTTGTTTGGAATAAAATTATCTTGTGTCCCTGATAATTATTCATAAACCATTTGAAATGTTAAACAATTTTGAATTAATGAACAAAAAAATGACCTGGAATGTATAAATACAAATAAATATACAATGTTTCTTTGTACCGATTTTCTGAACACAAGTGAATAGTTAGAAAACCTCAAATGAGCTTAGAGGAATTGTATAAGGACATTTATCGTTTATGAAAGTTAATAAAATAACAGTTTAGGATATATAATATTGAGGGGTGAAAATATTATAACTAAATAAACATTCAGTTATTTGAATGGGGTAAACTTAATTGAAATTCAATTTAAAATATCGAAGTCATGATACTAATACCAAATAAAACGGACCTTTAATTAAAAAGATAAATGTCGCGTGTTAAGCGAATTGTCGCTTAAACCAAATAGCCCTTCACCCATCAATATCATCTTTTTATGATCAACCCTTTTTAATGTAACAACTAATGAATTTTAATGAATTGGTGCCATCAAAACCCTCATCAAATGGTACTGCTCGCATTGAATTTATTTCTGTTTTGATACAACAAAAGCGTGTTCTCTTTTGAAAAAAATGTCAACTTGTTTAATATAATATGTGTATTTTATACATATTTTTTTTTTAACAGATTTACTTTTTAAATAATTTTGCATTGATTTTATTTCACATGTTACATACGATTTTAGCAACTGGTCTCTTGATATTGGCGCGAACTATAGATAGCAAAGGATTAAAAAAACAACATTATACATACATTTCTTATTTATTGCTTTTGACATATATTTTTTAATTTATATATTATTCACAAATTCAAATACGTTGAGGAAGAATTGAGTTACTGGAATGAGTAATTTAAACACTGAGTCCCATGTGACGCTTTCACACGAATGTGAAATAAACATGGCTCTGGGTTTTTGAATTCTATAATTATGGGCCGGAGAGACATATTTTGGTTTAAACCGTAGAATAGCTTTAAGATCATAATAGTTCTCAAATAATTATAAAAATCGGTCAAAAAAATAATTGAATAGTCAAAAGGACTCAAAAAATTTTTTTTCTTGTCTATGGATTCTAAGCGCTGACAGTTAAGTCTGTTAGCAGTGTAGGTACTAACAATGTGACAGGTAGTGCGGGCATCGATCATTTAAGGGCGTTTCCAAAGTAGAAATTCTAATTACCGGGGCAATAAAAATTCAAATTATCATTAAACTGACTCATATTAAGCGAGGCGAAAAATAATAAACATGTTGATTTTGGAAACACGCAATGAACGCGCGTACAAAATATGGGGGTCAACAACCTCATTCAGACCGTACATGGCGGTAGGCGGTGGACGCCTCCCACTCCTGCAACATCAATCTGCTCATACGTGATTAATAATAAATAAGAACAATTAAATAGTAATGTTTTGCTATAATTATAATTCACCATCATTGTTTTCGTTTTGAATAATATGTCGTCGCTGTCAAACCAAAATCTACTATGTGCACTTTTTGAGATTTTTACATTTTGACCTTTTTGTATAATTCACAGCCTTATCTATCGTATAAAAAAACTGTTATTTGTCTATAGCTTTAATATTTATCTATAGCTTTCATTTGATATAGTTCTTAAAAATCCACTTTCATATAAACTTTTATACGAAAATGTTTTTACTCGTTAATTCAAAATAGAGTTTTTGCACATAGCAGATTTTGGTTTGACAACGACGATATGTATTTGTTGTTGTGTTAATTATAGGTCGCGCTCATTTCCCCGAGACAAACCGTAACTATCATGGAATCATCTAGAGAACCCAGAAGTAAAGCACAATCACGAGCACGATAACGGCTCCGGCGGTCACCTTCACCAGCATCGACTTCGTGTTCAGATACGTGGCGTCCTTCCGGTACTTCTGCGACATCATCGATAGGTTTTGCGTCTTCGTGTCCAGTTCTGAAAGTTAAATCACGTTAAATTGAATAACCATATTCTGGAAACTCACGAAAATGATTTTTTTTTTCCTACCCATGCTGATAGCCTTGAGAGGCTATTTCAGCTTCACCCTAACATGTAGGTGAGCTCACGGGGCTCAAACTGGAATCAAAGTATGTTATGAGAATCTGTGGATATAACATTTTGCCTGTTTGATGTTTTTTACTATTATTATTGGAAATGCCAGAGATATAGGTATGCCAGCCACTCAAGTATTTTTAAACCTCATTGGACATCATGACAGGTCCAAGTGAGTACTTGACTAAAGTTTGATCTCTGAAAAAACACTGGGTGAATGCAGTAGATCCAGATAGATATACTACTTGCACAGTGGCTAGAGATATGGTAGAATATTGACAACTGTTATAACTCAAACATAAGGGTGTTGACTATATAAAATATAAAGACCGCAAAATTATAATTTGCGTAACTGGTGGTAGGACCTCTTGTGAGTTCACACGGGTAGGTACCACCATACTGCCTATTTTTGCCGTGAAGCAGTAATGCGTTTCGGTTTGAAGGGTGGGCAGCTGTTGTAACTATACTGAGACCTTAGAAATCATATCTCAAGGTGAGTGGCGGCATTTATGTTGTAGATGTCTATGGGCTCCGGTAACCATTTAACATCAGGTGGGCCGTGAGCTCGTCCACCCTTTTTATTTATTTATTTTTATTGCCCTTGTAGGCAGACGAGCATACGGCCCACCTGATGTTGAGTGGTTACCGTCGCCCATGGACTTCAGCAATGCCAGGGGCAGAGCCAAGCCACTGTCTACAAACTGCCCAACTAAGCAATAAGAAAAACTGGGGTTTTCAAGGGATGTGGTGCAAATTGCAAGACCGGTACATTATATTATACCCGTGTAAACATTAGATAAAATTAGGGATGGGGGTGATTTATCAATACAAAAATGGAGAAGATGAAGGCATTTACCGGACAGTATAGCTCCCCTTTGCAGCACGTCGTCGATGTTCTGCATCATGATGCGCTGCACGTCGCCCAGCTGCGGCGCCAGGTGCGAGGCGGCGCCGGCCCGGCGGGCGCGCGCGCCCCCCTCCGCGTACTGCTTCCGCGTGCGCTGCATGCACGTGTCGAACTCTATGAACGTGTACGGACGAGTCACGGTGTTCAACTGTGGACAAACTCATTTCTATAAATAACGCTGTAGTTTAAATATCATTGAACACACAATGCAGAAGTCGAGTCTTCCTTTAATTTAAGAATTCGGTTGATTAACTTGAAATGTACTTAAAGTCACTTTAAGTCGTCGTGGCCCAAAGGATAAGACGCCCGTGCATTCGTATGTAGCGATGCACCGGTGATCGAATCCCGCAGGCGGGTACCAATTTTTCTAATTTCAATAATGATATACGTACTTAGCAAATGTTCACGATTAACTTATGTAATTTTTTTTATCTCAGATGTTTAGTTCTTAATACTGGGATGGTAGACCTATTCTGATTGTTTGTATAATGAAACTAAAACTGTAACTCAAATAATCATGCATTCCAATTTGAAGATTGAGATATTTTTATTCCAGAGTAGGTGGAGTCAGCAGGTGCTGTTATTCTTGTTCTGGTATCTACATGCTGCCAGTGATTGATTAACATTAAGTAGCTTCTCAGTGGGTCGGTTTTCCGATCTGGTTTTAGATTCTGCGAAGCACGGCTCTTGCTAGGGTTCGTGTTAGCAACGTCATCAGGCTTGAGCCCCACGAGCTCACCTACTAGTTAAGGAAAAAAAAAACTAGATAGACTACAACTAACACCCAATTAAAAAATCTGTTCCTCAGATTGAAACTGAAAGAAAATTTTGTAATTTTAATAAATTAAAAACAGACCCTGTGTCCGTACTGTTGGAAGAATTCCTGTGCTATTTCCTCGAGATAATTGAATGCTAGTCGTTTACTGTAGTTTCTTTCACACAGGACCAAATAACATATGTGATTTTCAATCAAATAACTGAAAAGAGAAATTTTATTTCTTAAAACCATTATTTCACAAAAACAGGCATTATTATCAATAGATTAGAATTATGTAAAATGTTCCTTAAGGCGCCACTGTTTATTTTCATAAGCTGCTCGGTATACTGGTGGCTCACAACAATATTAATTGTGCATGTCCTCATGTGAATCTATTACTAATATTATAAGGAAAAATCAGGCAAACACCAGTCAATGTGATGTTGACCCCACCACGAATAACATGCCTACAAGTGTATGCGAACAAGCACATATGGCAGTTTGTGATATTGTAAGGTTACTTAGTCACTTAACACTAGGTGGCTTGTGAGCCTGATCACCCAACCAGTACATGATAAAACTAAATGCATAATAACATTGTACATAACAATATTTAATTGAAAATATGGCTCAGTACTATTGCACCAGTCTCACAATAAAGACATAGCAGCTTCCAAGTATATAACATAGTTAGTTTTGCAGCTCACATAATAAAACCTAGCAAAAACTCAAATAAAAAAACAAAACCATACTTAAAAATCATTCTACAAGCCAATACTTAAAAAGCATTATAAATTTTAGGGGTTTTGTGCTAAAAAACGAGTAAAAGAATAGACAAATAATATAAAATTGTACTTTACAGTCCGATTTTAAAACTTGTACCATATTGATATAATTGTTGATATTAAAATGCCCATAAGCTGTAACATCTCTGGGTTGTTATACAATCTAAATTGATTTTCACAATAGTCATATTGTATCATATTGTATGTTGCAAATAAGTATAGTAGTAGCATATGTAATAATATATTACAGGTGCACAATGTCTTATGTCAGAAAGTTATGTCTGGCTAAACATTTAAATTGTGAATTAGGTAAGAAGCTACTGTGTACATATTACTTTCAAAAACGTTTTGCATATAGATTTTTTGTTGGACTATTTTTGTTTAAAATGATATAGGTTTAATTGACATAAATGAACTGTGACTCACTGGAAGAGATACGGGCCGGTTTCAATGGAACATCTCATCGGGGACTGAGGGCTTAATTTCCTAAACAGCATTTTAGCCTGATTCTGGTACTCGAGTATATTGCACCCGCTCTGCAAATCATTACAGCAAATTAAATTATAATTACAACAAACAAAAATAATAAACAAAATTGCAATTTAAAAATAAAAATACTAATACATGAAACAAAAAGATACGAAAGAAATGTATATATGACGAAATATGTTATCATAGAAAATGATTATAGAGCATTCTAAATACCTGCTCATCCTCTTGCATAGTGGCAGCCAAAGGCAGCCCGTCGGCGACTCTTGCAATCATAGTCATTAACACCATATTTAAAGTTAAAATGTCTCTCACTTAAACATAAAATTTATGTAATTGAGTTCAACTTTAATTTAAGGTTTTTTCCTTCTCATAGTTTTGAAAACATGAAGAAAACTCAATAGGTTCTCAATACCACGACAGCTGTGCTTACACGTCAAGTAGACTGACATGACAACAACACGTCAACTAGCAGTGTTACCAATCAGAAAGTCACACTTTGGACTTGCTATTTTACGTGAAATTATTGTTTTTTCGATCCATCAAACTATCTACTTGTGGTAAAAAGAGTACACATATTACTTTTATTTTTTATTGCTTAGATGGGTGGACGAGCTCACAGCCCACCTGGTGTTAAGTGGTTACTGGAGCCCATAGATATCTACGACGTAAATGCGCCACTCACCTTGAGATATAAGTTCTAAGGTCTCAAGTATAGTTACAACGGCTGCCCCGCCCTTCAAACCGAAACGCATTACTGCTTCACGGCAGAAGTAGGCGGGGTGGTGGTACTTACCCGCGCGGACTCACAAGAGGTCCTACCACCAGTAAGAATTGAATTGAACTTAAATTTTTTCAGTACACTTTATTACTAGAAGAAAAGCTTTTTTACTAAAACAGGTTTTGTTTATAAGACAAAGGGAAGATCTTGCAATGAGCGGGTGAATTGCTTGGTAGACCAACAGTCCGAATATTGTTGTCCGGAATTTGTATAAAAGTATTGAAACTTATCTTGAAAATGTCGTTAGCGAGACTCAGGATTCTGTAAAATATCTTCGCATTCTCTGATAGCGGCCTTTTGGGCGGGAAGCGAGGAGTGAAGTTGTGTGATTTGTTTTATTTTGTCTATTTAGTGTTTCTTCAGGTTTAAATATGTAATAACGGTGGTTTATTGACTGTTTAATATCTGTGAATGTGCACAAATGTGGGAAAATCAAACAAAGCCGCTGAACGTAACTTCTCGGGATCCTCCAAAAAGTCCACTGAAAAAGTCTCAGTAAATGACCAACCACCATTTTACTGAGATTATATTTCATACCATATAATCTCATCTCATTTAATTTAATTTCATCCCAGTTTAATGTCTCAAATTAATCATCTTCATTTCATTTCATTTCACTCCATATTATCATTTTTCATAAAAATAAGAATATAAATTAAAATAAGACATGATTTAAAGGTCTTAGTTACCAGGTCATAAAATCCCATAAAAAAATCTCTGATAGCTACCCGTTACATAGGTGTTAATATCATGTAAATTCGGATACGAGAAGGTAACGGGTCTAATCAAATAAATAACGCAGTAAACTCCGTATTTATTATAAAAGGCTAGTCTAGCTGAGCAAGGTACCAGTGACAGCATGCTGGTTGCTTCTCTGGTGAACGACTCCCGGGCAGCAGCGGCCGCGGCATTTGAGACTGTTGGTAAAACAAATGCATGCATATGTCGTCATTGGGTGCTTTGCTGAAGTCCGAGGCCCACGCGATGAAGTGGATTAGTCTATTAGCCAGTAGCCAGTCAAGTACAGTACAAGTACTATGCCATGTACAGGACTGGAAACTGAACGGAACAAGGCTATGTGGATTGGGTATTTTGATGAAGTATTTGAATGGATTAGGACTAGATCGTACTAGTCGTGATTGATTACACACACTCATAGAGAGGCTAACACTACTTATAATCATAGGTAATCTACAATATTAACATTGGCAACTGTATTAGGAGTGTTATGACCAGCGTTAAGTTTACAGTTAAGTGGGAGATTCTTAGAAAGTTGGTGTCTTAAATAATTTTCAGATAGGAGAATATAATACATAAGGTTCAATTAATTTATACCCAAATTTTGGCAAAGAAATTTAATTATTAATCTCAATCAAGTAATACCATGATGTTTGGTTATAGATTGCACACTAAATGACAAACTATTAGCGTAGAAGATAACTCAAATTCGTATGGATTTGGAACGTTTGCCTACGTTCGCGGCTAGGGGTGTTGTTCCAACTGCAAATGTTGAGTTAACTTTTACGCTATGGAGAACGTTAAAAAACTCGCACTAAGCGCACTGTAGTAGGTTGCGGCTCGCATGTAGGTATCGCCACCCTCGGTCAACACTCCAATAGATGAGCCATAGGATAATAATAAATAAATAAATAAGTATCATCGACAACTCAATAAAGCGTATTTTTAAATTTATCTCGCGGTATTTGTTTTTAAATTTTAGACTTCATAGGATAATTTCTATAGTAAGCTCAAATTTTTCATTTCTTCATTAAATGATTATTGTGTTTTTAAATCATAAAGGGAAACGGAGAATAAATAATAAAGATATATTTTTTGTGGATATTTTATTAACATTATCATCATGCATCAAATTACGTACTAAATCATTTACACTTACAACTAACTATACANATTTGTTTTCAAATTTTAGACTTCATAGGATAATTTCTATAGTAAGCTCAAATTTTTCATTTCTTCATTAAATGATTATTGTGTTTTTAAATCATAAAGGGAAACGGAGAATAAATAATAAAGATATATTTTTTGTGGATATTTTATTAACATTATCATCATGCATCAAATTACGTACTAAATCATTTACACTTACAACTAACTATACATTAGAAAAATAACTTAACTAGGGGGCAGAAAATACATTATCTTGTAAAATTAACAAAATCTATGTTAAAGTTAATTAAAAATTATCGGACTGTAATTGCATTAAAAACTAAAAGCAAATATAACACAAAATTTCACATTTACACATTCTAACTCTCAGAATTAAAAAATAATAATTTTGAAGCAAAAACGAAGGAAGCGCCGTCTATTGTTCAAGGTAATGAAATTAAACTAACGACACGCAACAAACACGTTCATCCGGAATGAATTACGTATTGAAATACACACTTGGACATTAATTACATTTAGATAAACGTACATCGAAATAGCATGCAACTTCGAAACATTTAATCGCGTGCTGCCGTGCGACCGCAGCGCCCTCCCCGCCCTAATACCAAATTCACTAACCTTCTCGTTGCTTCCACGCACAAATTTCATACTTGAACTATCTAGCGACGCCATCACGTGGCTAGTGAGGGTGTGCGTTTTCGTCGAATGTACATTTGTACATTGCACAAGGGCCGCATGTGCCCGCGTTGCGACGCCACTGCGCCAATATGGCGTCCGCGTTTTTCTTTTTAACAAATTATGATACTAAGACTAGGCTCAATTTTAAAATCATTCATTTTGAGGTGCCATAAAAATTTACATTGAAAATTTTAAGTACATTAATTATTTATTAGAAACTTTGATTTTTATCAATAACATCAATTCGACTAAAATTATTTTAATTTTTTTTTAAAAACTTTTTCCGAGCATCATTTTAAATGCTTGCTCAAACATCCATACAAATCGGTAACTAACATCTCGCGCGTTGCATCACAAACTGCCGATTACTTCTGAGAGCGTTTCTTCTCCTCCCGTGGTCCATTCATTACACTATCTTATATTTAACAATAGATATTTTACAATAAAATTTGTAACCTACAGAACGAAATTTCCTAAAAAGGAAAAACAAACGTTTTGAGATCCCTCCGGGCTCGCCGACACGCGGCTGTGCCTGGCGTGGGATGCTCAAAGCGTTTATAAAAATAAATAAGTTAAATTCTAAAAGACGTATTTACAAAAGAAGAAGAATTAAAACAGCCGAAACGATAGAATTTCAACTAGATATTATATAAAAATATGATAAAAATCCACATTAATAAAAATATAGATCACACGCACAACGGGCACTGGTTTTGTTCGTAGTTATAACACTGAGATCGTTTCACTAAATCGTCATTTTAAAACAATTAACGCACTGGCATGTCTCGTTATACTCGTGGATCGGATCGTCAGCGTGGTGTGCGAGTCTGTCCGTCGGTCCCACATCATAGCACCCATTTAACACGACATTCGTTTCTCTTAAGGCTCACTAACCCTTTTCAGTAATCAGACGAAACGTGCACCTAATATAAATATAACTTACACACTAATCATTTGATATACTTTCTTGTTTTTTTTTTATCCTATTTTAAATATGTAAATATATAAAATATGTATAAATCTGTATTATTGATTTTTTACCATTTATAATAGAAGCAATGCACGTTTCGTCTATTTTAACTAAATTTGACACAACACGTCATCATACTCCATTATACAGACTATGTCGTGAACACGCTCAAAATAGTGCATTCATTTCAGTTCCACCTTTGAATGTACTCTACAGTATTATCACCTAGGTTAGCCAACGTAAGAGAGAAATAAAATCGTGCACTATTTTGAATTCGATTCATTTCTTCAGAACGTATTAATTTAACAGTGAATTAATTTTTAAAATAAAAGCACTAAATATTTTAACTAGTTTCAACATGTGACTTCATCTGCGATCAGCTTTGCTGACAAATGACAATCAGAATTTTGAACTGGTAATCTGTATTTTCAATTCACTGTTAATTTAATAGACAATTTTTTCCCTATCATTTTAACTATAAAAATTAATTTATTGTATACATAGATGGATCTTTTTGTATGGTATTTATTGGAACTATATTAACTGTGTACCTAATAGGCTATATCTTAAACAAACATTCGTTATTCTATCTAGTTACAGTATGATTCAATAACATTGGACCACGAATAGTAATTATTATATTTATTCAGGTAACAAAAAAACTTGGAGGCCCGCGACGGTTATTTTTTCACTAATTAAAAAAAACGGCTCCGTATCGGAGATAACATGTACGTAAATATAATATAAGAGAATATGTTATAATATATTATTAAATAGTAAATAGTGTTTCTCTGTGTGTGATATGCAGCGCAGCGCCGCGCGGGCCCCGACCAACATTCTTAAATTTAGTTATTATTATTTTTTAATAAACGAAATAAACTAGAACGCTTTCACATAAAACAGCTCACTTACAGTAAACATCTAATTATAATTAACACAATTCACAAATACTCTTACTTACGATAGGTTATTTTCTTTTTTATTTCCCCATTTAAACAGAACGTTGGCAGTATTTATTCAGTACTTGAAGAAATTTCCGAGCATTCGCGGAACATATTTCATAATAATATCAATCGAAAACAAATTCGGTTTAGGAAAGACGTTCGTCAATCAAATATAGTATTTAAATAGACTATGAGACAACTAAGGAACGTGTCAATTAATAGACAAACAATATTCAGTAAACATATATGTAAATATAGCATCAACAGCGGAGAGGGAATTCTTAACAAGTTGTAAATATGAAAATGGCTACCGCGAGCACCAAACGGTTAAAATGTACCACTACAATAATTTTGTTTTCATTAATATAAATCTTCTCATTTTACGTAAATATTTCAGTGTTGTTAACTCTTATAAGACTATTCAATATAACAAACATACTTAATGTGTAATGTAAAACTGTATCGAACATATTGTATATATGTATATCTGAATATGAATCATTTGTATGTTTTTGCGTAGTTTTGAGGTAGGAAGTTCCGATCCGTGCAGTCCGAGGAAGCGCCCACGCAAACGGACAACTTCACAAGTCCACAGTACCGCAGTACCACAGTACCGCAGTCGACACAGCTCACTCGCAACTCGGCCGCGTCGCCATACAACAACATTTAGCGAGTCAAGTGCTCCGCATCCTGAATACCCCTAAACATAGGTACCTATATAAACATTTGAGCAATCGATTTCGTCTCTCCTATTTTTTTGTATAAATATTAAATTCAATGATTAGTCGTCACGATCCGAGAGTTACACTTTCACATCTTAACTCGATAACAATATTCATAAGCGAATTTGAAAAAACGTCATGCATGATGATTTGAAAACTAGACGAATCTTTACTATTAGTGAAAAATGTAAGAGCGAAATAAATACGCGCCTCCGGGAGCGGTCACGTGTGCAGGGAGATTCTACGCCAACGAACAGTCGATCTCGACGATGTCCTTGGGCACGTCCACGAACTGGTAGACGAGGCGCTGGCCGTCCACCTTGGCGAGGATCCCGCGCTGGTAGTAATAGCGCAGGGCGCGGCCCATGGTCTCGTAGTTCATGTCCGGCTTGTTCTTGTGCAGGCCCCAGAGCCGCGACACCGCCTTCGAGTCGACCAGCTTGAACACGCCCTTCTCGCGGTTCGTCCACTTGATGAAGCGCGGGCAGTACTCGCGGTCCTGCAGCAGCTTCAGCAGGAACTCCCACAGGTACGTGGTGGAGCCCTCCCGGCTCTTGCGCTTGACGCCCGGCGTGGGAGGTGCATCGGAGCGAGGCCTTTTCTTCGGCTTCAGTTTGTTGTGATGATGGTGGCGCTGGTAGTCGCCGAAGTCGAATACGGAGTATGGCAGCTCGTCGTGCGGCAGCGGCGGGGGCGCAGGCGCTGCGAAGTGGTGAGTCCCGCCTCCCCCGCCGCCGTAACCATATCCATATGCGTCACGATCGCTCAACGCTCCCACTGGAAACAAACAGAACAATCCATCAATTAAACCATAATGTACAAACACACATAAAATATATCTAATAGTCTGTCTGAGATAATATCTTAAATTAACAGGTGGTTTCGCGTCCGCTGAGTACAATTTAAAAAAGCACAAATTGCACAGGAGTGCAGAGACCTCGTTCTGGATGGACCGGCTCCGAGCCGGACCGTCGTAAGAAGGGACTCTGTTACATTAAGGCATCGCACGACTAAATCCGCTCTTAAGTTCTAATTATATCTTCGACAATAACATTTTTATAGCAAGACATTAAAATGCGGTCACCATTTTTAATTTTCAAAATTGATACCAACTAATTGGTTACAATGTTGTTAGCCAAACTATGGTTTGGTTGGTGATGGTTACACGGTGTTATAGATAGTGTTGGATTGCGTCAACCGCGGAGTCGGCGCGGCCGCCTTGACCCCAATGAGCGGACGCCAGCGCCATCGGCCTGTCACTTCGCATTTTTCCATTTTCAGATGTGATTGAATTAATGTCTCGTTAAAAACCAATAATTAAAACTGATCAAAGTTTTTGTTTTCGTTATTTATTTTAAAGTCATTCAAATTAAGCTAATGAGATGATGAGCAAATGAGAAAGAATGCTAAGCAAGCTTAATCTTGAATTGCAAATGGGGAACATTACAGGCCCTAGCATTTACATACCGCGTTATATTTCTTAGTTACTTGAACTAAATGTATGTCAGAAAATTAAACAAAAATACGTCGGTAATGCAGAATTTCAGAGTTCTTCAGGTATTTGATTTCAAAAAGGTCGCGATCAAATAATTAGATTAAAAACTCATTGTTTTATAATTTCTCATATATTCTTAGACAATAATTAGCGAACGTGGAAGCCATTGTTGCTAAACTCGAGATAGGTGAGACGTTATTACGGTATAATCCTAAATACCAGCCATATTTAGGTACGTCTCGGATCACGCGTTACGCTAAATTACACAATTTTGTTTTTTTTTAAGTTAACAATTTTGAAGCGCTTCCTGTTTGATTATAACATAGGTATTTAAGTGTATATTGCGATACAATGTCCAACTGGAGGGAAGTATATTAAAATTTGTTTTGTGTTCTAAAATACCTAAAAGTTAGGTCGAATAAATAGATCAAATTTTGTTTTTTAGGTTATTTAGAGAAAAGGACGTCTTAGATACGTCTCGATCTCTCATTTAGTATAAACTTAAAAATGCCATCTAGTATCACCTACAGACTGACAGGTAGTCGGTCACACTCTAACTTGTATAGGGTGTAACACTATTGAGGAAACTAAGCTTCTAGAAAGATTCGAACTCAGACCGCAGAGCATATCGAACACGATTAATCGTTAAAAGATTTAAAGAGCTAAACTAAAACTATCACTTCACTATCCACTCGATACTAGAAGTGGTATACGGTGTCTTATGAAGGTATTAGAGATGACTTCTGGAGTGGTGAGTGGACAAAAATAGTTTTTCAAAACTTCGCCTGTCCTTATTCGAGATACTTATCCTGTGTAAAAAAACCTTTATGATCTGGCACCGGAGCGCGCCACTGATCAACGTTACTCGTAATTTTTATTAACAATCGCGTCACATTATTAGTCAATCGTTTTAACCGGTAATTCACATTAATAATACGTCGTGAATACGTCGAATATGTCGTTAAGGCGTCGTGACTCTTGGCTTTTTTATTGCTATACGTTTATGAGCATACGAACTTACGTCATTTACGGTCTACCTGGTGTTGAGTGACTATTGTAGGTCGGAGACATTTATTTTTCATTCTTAATGTTCTCGTTTGAAGGACGGGAGAGACTCGGCGAGGGCATCCATTTTGTCGTGCTTGTGAGGTTTACTAACCATTTAACACTAGGTGGGCTGTCAGTTCGTCTTCCCATGATCAAAATGTGTGAGCGTTTAAAAAAAAACCAAGCATAGTCTCTCTATTATTTCAGTAACCTGTCGATACGCGTTTAGTTTTCGGTACATATCAGATATTCGGGTAATAGGTTATACAAGTTTGTGTTACGAATCTGGCTTCATGCCTGTGTTTTATTGAGCCATTCAGTTTTACAACTTCCCGAGAGTGTGACCCGTTTGTTTTATACTTTTCTCTAGGAAACGAAGGTCTGTGTAGTCTCATACGAATGTTTTGAAGAAATGTAGCAGTAAATTGTTGGATAAAAGACCACTAAAAACGTGAAGCATTTTCAAACCTAATATGTTCACGTATTGGAATAGTAATCGGACGAATGATCTTAAAGTTTGAATGTCACGTGGATCTTCGACCATCACACAGTGTTCTAAGAAAATTTATTCAAAACCTTGTTAATAACAAACTCAGAAAATAATCAAAATTTCAAACGAGTTTTACTGCAAAGAATTATCTTGTATTGTGTCTAAAGTAAGACAATAACGACAGGAGTTGTCAATTGGAGGGAAAAGTATTGAAAAGAAATGCCTAAGAAGGCAGGAACCACGAAATTAGTTATCGAGGACACGTTCGAGTCAATGCCTACCGTTTCTCTTATTAAACTTCTATTAGACACTAAGTAATGAAAAATACATGTTAGTTCAATGAATTAAATACCTGATAATAAGAATGATTACACGTGTATTATGTACTACAAGCTAAAGCGACTGTCATCCGGAATTTAGTTTTTAAATCCAAATATTTTCAAACCGGCAGTATTTTCGCGTGGCTTATCGCGAGGTCAACGACACGCCTAGCACGTGCGTCCGCGGCTAACATTTTTAATCATTACGTAATTGTTTTAAATGTATTTAACAAAAATTACTTAAGTTTTTTATCGGTATGTTTGCAGCTAATATTCACATCGGCTCTGCTAGTTTGAATGTGGTTACATACGGTGATAAATTGATAAACTCGGTTCTAAGCTATTATTAATGAAGGCGGCGTAATAGAAATTAGCTTACAAAGTTTTTTGTTTCATTGTTTTTGAAGTGGACAGTAACTGAAATAGACACAACGGGATCTTAATATTTTCAGTATGTTTTTTAATAAAATTAAATTTGTATGTATATTTTTTTGTTCGTTATTACAATCTGTCCACAGTCTCAGCACTTTCGGCCACTGGTACCTTTAACGATTGAGAATATTTAAAAAGACATCTGTCAAAAAATTTAAAAAGCCTACACGAAATCGGTGACACGCGCGTTCTTTTCACAGTAAACGCGGCATTTAAAATATCAGAAAAAGACATCTGAGCATAACCAAAACCACAGATTCTATAAAACTTGACTTTGGCGAAATCAAAAAGGACCGCCATTACAAAAGAAAATGAAATGAAATAAAATATCAGACCTGGTTTCTTGATTATGTTTAAAGTTATTTATGATTAAGGAAGATTATTGTATTTCTTTGATCAGTTTTGGTTCAAACAAATATCGTTTGATATTTTAATGTATGAGGTGTATTATATTTGATAACAATATGGAAATTGAATTTGGAATTTTCAATTTCCGAACGTTTATTATTCCAGTTGTACATTAAGAGCTTGCGGGACTATTATTATTAAATCGATTACCGCCTTAACAAAAAGTAAATAATGTTCTAAAATCTGTTATATAATGTTATATCCAATGTTATAGGTAATGTCAAATTCAAATGGTTTACTCTTATGAGTATTATTTTAATTGGTTTTGTTGGAGTTCAAGCCCAGTCGATGATAAACCGTTACCAAAGCAAATAGACACGCAGCGAGACTGTCGCTGCTTTGTTTTGAACATGACGTTGACGCCTCCATTACATTATCATTCAGAGTGCTTAGTGCGAGTTTTTTAACGTCCTCGATAGCGTAAAAGTTAACTCAAATTTGTATGCAGTTGGAACAGCGCCCCTAGCGGCAAACGTTCCAACTCCATACCAATTTGAGTTAATTTTTACGCTATCGAGGACGTTAAAAAACTCGCACTAAGCCACACAGGCCTCAAAGCGCTTCCTTTATTTAGAAGAAAAATCCAACTTCCAACTAGTAATAACATAATTAATAATTACGTAACAATATTATAAGCTCGTGGGACAGTGTACGTAATGAAAGAGGATGCGATTATTTTAAATTTCTCGTATAAATAAATTTAGGAAGTGTTTTAAAAAAGAATACGATTAAAATGTTTTCTGACTTAAAAACGACCGCTTAGTTAATATAGGGTCGTTTTGTATGTCCGGTATGAATACATTCATTACATTGATTTAATTATCTACTAAAATATGTGTATGTATGTATGCGTGCATGTATATACTGGAAATAATTGTATGAGTGTTGTTTATCACAATCAATACTCGACAACGCCGGAGAGAGGGATTACATCGATATTATATCATTATATGTGTTAGTTGTATGTGTGGGTGTGCATATTTTAAACTTTCAAGATATACTGGGTGGCGGGCGCGCTAAAGATCCACCTGTTGTTAAGTGGTCGCCGGACATAGCACAGACCGCCTCCCACTTCGATTGAAAGAACTTACATTTGATTTTTGATGTCGGTAAATAGTGTTTTTTATGATCGCAAGTTCTGGTTTTATTAAACGGACTTGTAAAATTGTGTTAAATTTTTCAATGTGTTGCTTGATTTTTCCGAAACACAAATAAAATTACTTATTTCAACTTTTCTATTGAAAACATCATTGAAGTATTTTATTTATTATTTTTTTATTATTGCCTTTGTAGGCAGACGAGCATACGGCCCACCTGATGGTGAGTGGTTACCGTCGCCCATGGACTTCAGCAATGCCAAGGGCAGAGCCAAGCCGCTGCCTACAATTAGTTACGATTTAATAGTTAGAAATTATTAAAAAACGTAGTCCACATCATTGTTATATTGCCTATATTATACGAGGGTTACATTACTTTGAAAGCTGGACATTAAGATTTTGCAAAACTGCCAAACACTCAATTTTATGTAAGTATTTAATAATCTACATTAACTTGTGGTTAGCCTGAGAAACGAATAGAACGGGGT